GCTGCCTTATATCAGAGAGAGCATGTGATATTTGTCCTTTGGGAATTGCCTTATTTCACTGCATGTAATGATCTCCCATTTGGACTATTTTGTTGCAAATGTTAGAAGTTCAGGGTTTTTTTTTTTGTAAATGACTGAGTAGTATTCCACGGAACAGTACCATAGTCTCTTCATCCAGTCCTCTTTTGACAGGCATCTGGGGCTGAGAAAAGGCAACACAAAAATTCATCTGGAAACACAAGAGACCACGAATGGTCAAAGCAATCCCAAAGAATAAAAATAAAGCTGAAGGAATCACAATTCCAGATGTTAAGAAATACTAGAGGGAAGTAGCAATCAAGACAGTCTGGCACTGGTACAGAGACAGAGAAGATCAGTGGGACAGAAGAGAAACTCCACAAGTGAGTCCACACACGTACAGACAGCTCATCTTTGATAAGAGAACCAAAAATAATCCAGGGAAAAGGGTTGGTCTCATCAACAAACTGTGCTGAGACAACTGGGTGACAGCCTACAGAGCTAAGAAGCTAGACACCCACCTGTCACCCTCTACAAAAATCAGCTGTAACTGCACACAGAGATCATCCAACTATTACACAGAAACAGGAAGCACTCTATAAGATACAGACATAGCACCCAGCATGATGGCTCAATTGACTAATCTTCTCCTTGCAAGCGCCAGAATTCTATATGGGCACCAGTTCATGTCCTGTCTGCTCCCTTTACCATCTAGCTCCCTTCATACAGCCTGGGAAAGCAACGGAAGATGTCCCTGCACCTGTGTGGGAGACCTGAAAGAATCTTCTGGTTCCTGGCTTTGGATCAGCTCAGCTCCAGCTGTTGCAGCCACTTGGGGAATGAAGCAGCAAGTGAAAGAATTATCTCTGTGTCTCTTTCTCTGTGTAAATCTGATCTGCCTTTCCAGTAAAAATAAATAAATCTTTAAAAAAAAAAACAAAACAAGATAAAGACATTGGTGAAGGCTTTTGAGAAAGTCACCAAAAGCACAGGCAGTCAAAACCAAAATCAACAAATAGGACTACAACTAAGAAGCTTCTGCACAACAAAGGAAACAATCAACAAAGCACAGAAGGAACCAACAGAATGGGAGAAAATCTTTGCATATTATACAACAAATAGGGGATTAATATCCAGTATTTACAAAGAGTTTCAGAAACTCATTCACAGCAAAATGCTATGACTGTCCTGAAACCAACTGGGCCTTTTTTTTTTCCTTTTAAAGATTTATTTTTTATTGCAAAGTCAGGTATATAGAGAGAGGAGGAGAGACAGAGGAAGATCTTCTGTCCGATGATTCACTTCCCAAATGTCCACAACAGCCGGTGCTGAGCCAATCTGAAGCCAGGAGCCAGGAGCTTCTCCCAGGTCTCCCCCAAGGCTTTGGGCCTTCCCTGAGTGCTTTCCCAGGCCACAAGCAGGGAGCTGGACGGGAAGCAGGGCTGTCAGGATTAGAACCAGCGCCCATGTGGGATCCTGGCATATTCAAAATGAGGACTTCAGCTGCTAGGCCACTGCACCGAGCCCTGGGCCTTTTCTTATTCTCTTATGTCCCCCGCATCTTACCAGCGCCTCCATTCACACCTCTGGGCACAGCTCCTCTGCTGGCCTTCCTGTCCCGCCCAGAGCCTGCAGCAACGCTTCCCACCCTCTCCTTCAACCACCTGCAACCCCCCTTCTTTCCAAAGCAACTCAAATGTCCCCTCGCCCCTGTGCCAAGTGTGTGCTAACCGCAGATCACTTCTTTCATAAGACATTGCGTGTACTTTATCTCTGACTCCCTGAAGGGAGGGGGAAGAGTAACGCCCTTGATTGGCTCTTGTGCCCCTTAGCTTACTGGACTGCTGCTGCTCCTGCTGGGTGAGGGCAGGAACCACACCTCTCCTCGCCACCCACGGCCCCACACTCAGGTGAGCCTGAGGGCTGTCTCAGATAAGATTCAAGAACTATGTCTTAATTAAAAAAAAAAAAAAGGTGCTCATTTGAAAGGCAGCATCATTAGAGAGAGAGAATTAGGGAAAGCAAGAGAGAGAGAGAGAGCTTCGATCTGCTGCTTTGCAGCAATAGCAGGGGCCAAGTCAGGCCCAAGCCAGGAGCCTGGAACTTCATGCAGGACTCCCACATGGGTGGCAGAGGCCTAAGCACTAGGGCCATCCTTTACCACTTGTCCCAGGCCATGAGCAGGGCGTGACATCAGGATCTGAAGCAGCACTCACAAGGGATGTCGGCATCCCAGGCGGCAGTTAAACCTTCTATGCCACAGCACCCACTGCCCATGACCGTGATATGACCATCACACAACATGACTTAATGAATGTAGACACCAACTCCTCTCCCTTCACTGCCCAGCAGTACACATTCCCACAGTATGGGTCACAGCCCCTGATGCCTGGGAACCCCAGATGTCAGACCCCATAGTATTCCAAGCTGGTCTGACACTCAGAGCCAGGCTGCTGTGTTCTTCCTCCTCGTGGAATAACAGCCTCAAATGAGGTCACTCAGCCATCGGGACAGAATGAAGCACCACGAGACTACATCGCAGCTTGTCTAAACAGACGAGAGGTCGCCTCGCTTCCGCTCTGCCCCCTCATGGCAGCTCTGAGCCTTTCTCCCAAAGCTCAGCCTACGTCCTCCAAGGCATCTCGCTGCAATGAGCAGGAAGCCCAGCCTAGCTCGCAACAGATGGCCTCCAGGTGAGATATGTTGACCAATCGTGAACACCCCCCACATCTGAGGGGTACAGCTGCGCCCACTCTCCACCCAGAGGAACTGAGGCTGAGCGAGCTTCAATGACAGATGGGGACCTCTAGGTCTCACCCCTACCATCACATCACGCAGGGATCGGTCATCCCAATGCCCATGAAATTATTCTGTTGGCCTCTTTGTGTATTTAATAAATAACTTGCAAAAATCTCAGAGCCTGCACCCTGGTGTGGCAAGCTAATCTTGGGCCTGTGGTCCAGCATCCTATAGGGGCACCAGTTGCGGGTGTTCTGCCTCTGATTCAGCTCTCTGCTGGTGTACCTGGGAAAGCAGCAGCAGACGGCCCAAGTCCCCAGGCCCCTGCCCCACATGGGAGGCCCGGAAGAAGCTCCTGGCTCCTGTTTCTGACCAACTGAGCGCTGGCTGTTGCAGCCATTTGAGGAGTGACCCAACGAATGGAAAATCTCATTTGGTGTGTGTCTCCTTTCTGTAACCCTGTCTTTCAAGCGCCATAAATAAATAAAAATATAATCTTAAAGATAATGTCATATATATTAGTATATAGTATTCCACATTACTAAATTAATACATGTTTGAGGTTTATTTGTTGTATAATACAAAATAGATATATTACTATAATACATATAATATAAAAGATATCTGTATCTCCCAGTGGCCAGGGATGCCTAGGCCGGTTCCGTCGCTGGAAGCAGGGACAGAGGAAGCCACCAACACAACAATGAACAGAATCAGGTGCAAAACGGAAAGGACACCAAAGACCTCAGTCAAGACCCTTATCGTGTGCATTAATAAATGAAATCAGCAGACGGCGGCCCAAGACCTGGCTTCTGTTTCTGTAAATGTTGTTTCACCACTGGTCCCAATCATCATCTGTCCACTCAAAAGCTCAATGCCAGCACCCAGGACGCCGAGTGACATCAGAGGCATTCATCCAATTAGCCACTTCCCTGGCTCCAACTACTAGAAACTTTTTTTTTTTAAGAACAGCCTATGTGTCTGGGAGAGGAAGGGAGCTCACTACGCCATAAGCTGCTCTGTGGACACGCGGAGAGGGTGGCGGGGCCGGTGCACACCGCTTTCCCCGGCTGGGGAGGGTCTGCGGCTGGAAGCGCGAGGCCGCGGACGCGCCGTCGCCCAGGGACACGGACGCGCACCGCGCACCCGTCGCGACCTCGCTTCCCACCCGCCATGGCGTCGCGTCGCCGCAGCTCCAGCGAGCGTGACAAGGAGGAGGAGGACCAGAAGGAGTCTGAGGAGGGGTCGGAGGAGGAGGAGGATGGGGAGGAGGAAGATGGGGAGGAAGAGCAGGCGGAGGCGGGTCCAGGGGCTGCCTCCGCAGAGGCGCCGCAGAGTCCGCCGGACGTGCCTGGGATGCACTTCAATGAGTACCTGTGGACAGCCTTGAACTTCGACAAGATCCAAGACTACAACCAGCTCGAACTCTGCCCGCGCTTGCCCAGCGTCGCCAGCCCCAGCCTGAGCCCGACCACCAGCCACGCTTCGATGTTCTCGTGGAGCCGCACGCCTAGCGAGAGCCCGTCCTCCAGCGTCACCCCACACAAAAGTACCGGCCCTCCTCCCCACTGTCCAGGCCTCGCGGGCAGCCGGGCCACGCAAGGCTGAGCCTGCATCTGCCTGGGGGTCTAGCTGCTAAATGCATGCGCCCACACACATACACATGTACCGCGACACACACACACCTATGCATACATACATATGCGCCACTACACACAAACGCACCCTTCTTGCACATAGCCTGGCGTATTGATTACTCTGCCGTAATGATTGCCAGTTTGGGATACGGGTGGGATGCATTGTAAAAATAGAAACTTGGGCACTTCTCTAGGAAGTGTGCCTGTCACATGCCTTAAGGAGGCCATGGGACTAAACAGTAGGAAACACAAAACTCCTTGGCAGGTTCAACTGCACCGAAACCACTTTCAAAAGGCCTTTTTTAAAAAACGACGGTTATTCTGAGCTTTCTCAGGCTCCCCGCTTTGATATTTGGATCTGGAAAATTCTTCAGTGAGGAAAAGGGGACTCTCTTGTGCATAATAGGCTGTGTAGCCACATCTGTGGCTGGTACACACACACAGACACACACACACACACACGAGTGATTGTGAATGACAGCTCCAAACACTGTCAGTGTTGTCTGGGGGTGCCGGGAAAGACTGCCCCTTGGAGAACCGCCCACTGAGAGGTAACGGCTAAATGTTTACGTGCTTCATTCAACAGGTGTTCCTAAAATATTCCATACATTTAGGAAGGAAATGTCTGATGCGAACTTAGATAGGTAAGAAAACGCTTTCACTTTTTATATCACCATTTTCCAAGGCGATAAGGCTTGCCTCACATATCAACATTTTTAAAAAGGAGAAATAAATAATCCGGGGCATTTATGATTTTTTAAGGACTTTTTTTTTTCTTTTAAATGACAGTGGGACGGGCATTTGGCGTAGCAGTTTAAGACCTTGCTTTTAGTGCCCACGATCTCCTATTAGCGTTGCTGAGTCCAGTCTTGGTTCCACATCCCACTTGAACTTCCTTCTAATGCAGGCTCTAGGGGCAGCAGGCAAGTCGGGCCTTTGAGTTCTCACTACCTGAATGGGAGACTAGAATTGCGTCCCAGACTCCTGGCTGTGGCCTGTGCAGTCTTTCCAGGCATGCGGGAAGTGAGCCAGCCAATAGAAGATTCTCTGTCTTTCAAATACATTTATAACATTTTTCAGAACCTGTGAAAAATGTAAAGGTTCCTGCCTGTCTCCAGCTCTTTCCGTGGCTGGAGACTTAGCACGAAGCAGTACTGAGCATGTGCACAGCAGTACCCACGGGGAACATTTAAAGTCTCTAGTCTGCCGGCCAGCGTGAACAGGCACACCCTTAATGAAACAGTAATCTCTGCCTCCTTCAAACATGTTGGTAGGACCACAGCTTGGAAATACCTCATGCCCTCAACAGCTGGTGTGGAGTCAGGCTGAAGCCAGGAGCTAAGAATTCCATCCCAGTCCGCCCGTGCAGGTGGCGGGAACCCAAGCACATCACAAAGCCAAGCAGCCACACTCCAACCGACCCCCTGACGGAGGGGCAGTTTGCCCTGCTATGCCACAAGGACTGATCCTAAATTTTATGAGCAACGTTTAGATTCTTAAGCAGAAGAACTGTTCTGTCTCATTTTTAAACCTTTGACTTTTTCAACAACAAAAAAAATGTATTTGCAGTTTAAAAATTACAGAGGCAGGTGTTTAGCTTAGTGATGAAGATGTCATTGAAGACAGCTCTGTCCTATAGGAGAGTACCTGAGTTCAGTCCCTGGCTCGGGCTTCCTAACGTGCACTCTGGGAGCCTGCGGCGATGGCTGAGCCCTTGGTTCCTGCCACATGGAACACGTGGTTTGAGCTCCTAGCTCCCAGCTCCGGCCTTGCCCAGACTCTGCTGTTCTGGGAGTTGGTAGGTAAATGAGAAGCTGGGAACTGTTTCTGTCCTTTGCCTTTTAAACTAAAAGAAATCATAACAAGTATATATAATTTAAAAATCGGGGTGTTGTGATGCTGTCATTCGATATATCAGAATGCCAGTTCCAGCGGAGGCTGCACCACTCTGCTGAGTCACCTGCCTGCTGACTCGCCTGGGCAAGTGATGACCCAAGGATTTGGTGTCACTCCACCCATCTGGGAGGCCTGGATGGATTTCCAGGCTCCTGACTCTGACCTGGTCCAGCCTTCGCTGCTGTGGCCATTTGCGGAGTGAACCAGAAGATGGGACCTTCTCCCTAGCACTTTGCCATTTTGCCTCTCAAATAAATAAACCCTTGTTTAGGAAAAGTGTAGAGGGGCAAGATGGGGGTAGACAATAAAAAGCAAAAAGAAAGTTTAGAAATCAAAAATCTCCCTGACCTTGTCCACTCCCACATCTACTCAATAGAGTAGATAAACCGTTAACTATTTTGTTACTAATTTTGTTTACTTGAAAAGCAACAAATCTGACATCTGCTGGTTCACTCCTCCACATACCTGCGACAGCCAGGGCTGGGCCAGGCCGAGCTGAGAGCCAGGAAGTCATGCCAAGCCTCTCGAGGCGTGGGCACCAGCAGGAAGGAACAACTGTGAGCACAGCGGGGCCTCAAACCCGAGCACTGCGATGTGAGACACACACATCCCAACGGACATCTCAACAGCCATGCCAGACGCCTACCTCCTTGTCCACTAAACAGTTTCAAGAGGATACTTCAAAAATTTCATGAAAAATATATGCTATGAAAGAGCTATGTATGGAATCTGAAGGGTTTTTTGCATCAACATCAACGTCTTCTAGTTCCCTTCTTCCACTAGCTCTTTGAAGTATCACGTTTTAGTTCCTTGATTGATTTATTTGCAACTATGGACTTCCTGGTACCGTATCAGCAGTTATGTTAATTTTTAGTTTGTCTAGTCTTTAGGAGTTTAAGGTATTTATGTCTCTATTTCTTGGTTTATATTTTAAGTTAGAATGCATTTATTTTGAAAAATTAACATCTTAGAGGACGTGTGCATTTTGCCATTTCTCCTTACACCTCTTCTCACCCAGTTAGCAAATTATGTACAAATGATATTAATATATATATTCACATAAAGCTGTATTACTTTACCACTCTTTCATGCTTTGTTAATTTTAAATAGCTCTTGGTGTTTTCGGTACAGGTTGATTTGAAATATTGCAGACCACCAATTAAAAAAAAATCCCTAATGTTATGTTTTGAAACATCGTTTTGGGAATGAACCAGCAGGTGGAAAATCTCTTTATAAATCTCTCCCTGTGTAACTCTGCCTTTCAAATAAATAAATATAGTTATTTTTAAGAGACCAATAATGGGAAGGGCAGGCATTGTGTCATAGTAGGTTAAGCTGCCCAGAACACATGTGTCTTGGATCAGAGAGCTGGTTCTTGTTCTAGTAGCTTCTCTTCCAATGCATCTTTCTGCTGTGTACCCGTGAGGCAAAAGGTCATGGCTCAGGCGCTTGGATCCTGCCACCCTGTGAGAGACAGCCCCTGGAGAGAGAGAGAGTCCTGGCCCCTGGATTCGGTAGAGCCCAGTCCTGGCTGTGCTGGGCATTTAGGTGGTCAAAAGTATGCTCTCTCTCTCACTTTCTGCCTTTCAAGTTCACGAAAATAAACTTTTTTAAAAAGAAGCAAATATGATTGAATTGATGTTTAAGAAATTTAATCCTATGTCTGTAAAACTTGTCTTCTCTGCTGTGTTGTCTTCACTTCGCTGCTGTGGGTTCCCTGCCCATACCCTCTTGATTCCCACTATTAATTTCTTTCTTCTATTCCTTTTCTTTTTGTTGGAAAAGCACTGTAGATGCCTAAGATCTTTTTTCATAAATGTCTTAAAGATAGTAAAATTCCTGGGTCCTTGGGAGGTTTCTTCATTAGACCCTCATACTTTCTTTGTTAGGAATATAAATCAGTCTTGGGACTGGCACAACAAGTTAAGCACTGGCTGGCATCCTACAAACCAGTTCAAGTCCTAGATGCTCCACTTTTCATCTAGTGCTCTGCTAATTCACCCGGGAAAACAGCAGAAAATAGCCCAAAGGCTTGGGCCCCTGCCACTTCTGTGGGAGATCCAGAGCTCCCAGCTCCTGGCTTCAGCCTGACCCAGCCCCAGCTCAGCGTGGCCACTGTAGCCCTTTGAGGAGTGAACCAGCTGCTGGAGGTTCTCTTTCTCTCGTCACTCTCTATAACTCTGCCTTGCAAATGAACAAATAGTAAAATAACATGAACCAGTGGAAGAGAATGGGCTTGACACCACTTCCCCTCAAGGTCCTGCAGACCTCGCTCCCTTGCCCACCAGCGTCCAATCTTGCTGATCAGTTTGCTTCTCAAACCTCCTCCTGGCTGACTGGTGGCTCCCCTTCGTGGCCCCTCTCCTGTCCTTCCGAATCCTCCTAGAGGCGGAGGGGTCTCTTGGACAGATTCTCTCTCCTTCATAACTTTGTCTTTATGTTCTTCATATCTTCAAAATGTCCAATGTGCGTGTGTGTCATTACTCAATTAACTTCTGCAGAAGAAGAATTCTGCAGAAGAAGAACTTCTGCAAAAGAAGAATTCTTTTCTTTGGCTATTCATATTTGTCATTTCCAATAAGCAGTTCTATTTCTTGGATGATTTCTGTTCAAAATGGCGTGTGTGTGTGTGTGTGCGTGCGCACTTTAGTTATTTGAAGGTAGTATCATATCATAGTTCTGCTTCCTACATTTTCCTTTCAGAGTTTGTTGTCATTTGCACCTTCTCTTCCATGTTGTTGGCTCACTTTACTGGTGATCTTTGGTTTTTGATTTGTGTAAGTGAATGGTGGGGCGCTTGGAAGGCTGCTGCAACTGAGCAGTCCTGGCGTCTGAACAGGACTGGCAGGAAGTGCCTATCAGAAGCCTTGCACAGGTGGGCAGAACATATCAAAGCCAGCTGCCAGCAGTGCCTAGGTAGGAAAGAGTCAAGTCGGGAACCCTGCCGTTACTAGGGTTAGGACAAGGATCTTCTTCTGCATGGTTGGCGTTCTTCATGGATGGAATGTCCCTTCTTCCACCCCAACCCTGTTGGACAAATCCCAAGCAGATGGATGCTCCATCTGCTCTGCTTCTCTGTTTAAGGTTAAGAAATTCCCACACAGGTTACCCACTATGTTTACAAAGCTGCTCTTTATTCCTCTTTATAAATAAAAATAACTATTGCCATCTGCTTTACAAGGAGAAAGAAATGGGCCTGCCTGGCCAACTGTGTTAACTTCACTCCTTCAACAGCTCTGGTGAGTTCCCAGATTCATCCTCTGCGAGTTTGGTTGAGTCACTACAGAAATGTCTTAGGAAATCCCTTTCTTTAGGGCCAGCTGGTGCTATGGCACAGAGCCTACACCCTCCAGCACCAACATCCCATATGGTTACTGGTTCAAGCCCCAGCTGCTCCACTTCTAATCCAGCTCCGTACTAATGCACCTAGGAAAGCAGTAGAGAATGGACCAAGTCCATGGGAAGTGGAGCAGCTGTCAGGCCCCCCTGTCTTGTTTTCCAGGGCTCTTTGCTCAGAAAGATTTCGGAAAGAAGGGAAGAACTGTGTACTAAGTTGCCATCTCCACTTGGAATGGGAACTTCTTCCTGAGATCAAATTCTCACTTTCTCACTGTAAATCTTCCCAAAAAGGTGCTTTCATACTTAAAGCATTTTCTAGAGGAATTTGGCAAGATTGTGTTTTCAAAGAAATACATCCTAAAATTTCATGAAAATGCCATCAGTGTTGAGTTACTTCTGTTCTTCTTTATTATATTACTATTCTGGTAGAAAATGAGACAATCTTTAGCAGACTGACAGATGTGGAGAAACACGCGTTTTGGAGGCAGAGAAGAACTCCTGTGACCTTTGGGAGGCTCCTCAAACTCCATCATCTTCAGGAGAAAGATGAATTCTTGCTTTGATTAACTTTTGGCTTGGTTTTGTACTGTTTTATTTTGTTTTGCTTTTCACGATTTCTTTTTATCTAAAAGGCAGAGTTACAGAGAAAAAGTGAGACAAAGAAATTTTCTATCCACTAGTTCATTCCTCAAATGGCTGCAATGACTGGAGCTAGGCTGTGCTGAAGCCGGCAACCAAGAGCTCTTTCCAGGTCTTCCACGTGGGCCTTGGACCATCCTCTGCTGCTTTCCTACGTTGTAAGCAGGAAGCTGGATCAGGAAATGGAACAGCCAGCACATGAACCATATGGGATGCTAGCACTGCAGTTGGAGGCTTGCCTTCCTTTGCTACGGCACGTGCCCCATCATGTGTCAAGCAACTACTGTATGTCTGTACATATATATATATATATACACACACAAATCTATACACCACATAGTAACTTCTTAGTAAATGTTAAACTGTGTTAGAATCATTCATCTTCACATAGAACTTCAGAAACGGTCTCTAACCAAATGATAGAGCCCTAACCAAATGATAAGTTTTGTTAAGCACTGAATTAGAAAAGAACAAAACCACTAAATGTTGCCTAGGGATTCTTCTTTAATGTTTCTTAATTTGTCATCCCTGTGCCTTGGTTGTCAGGGAGGAAGATAAACAGGGCTCCCCCAGAGACTGGCCCAGGTGCCTGAGCAAAAGCACTCTTCCCCGTTTGAGGACTCGCTCACTGCAGAGTGAAAAACAAACCACTTGACTGATGCAATGTGCTGACGAGCAGGGGTGGGGACACTCTTCTGCCAAGAAACATTTGGATATTTTTACCATCACTGCAGGGCCAAACAAAATTATCCACTGACAACTGGACCTGCTCTGAGTTTATGAGAGTTTGCATCCCACCTGTGGTTGCCTTGGCAGGGTTGGACCAAATAATTTCAAAGGCCTTATGTGGTCTCCTGGCCAAATGTTCCCCACCCATGCAATAAAGCATGAAAAAGAGAGGCAGAGACGTAAGAGAATCTAAAAATTTGATAAGGTAGCAATCCTAAACTGAAAGAGAGAGAGAGATGTCACTTGATCATTTTTTAAAACTCCAACAAATTATTTTTAAGATTTGTTTCTTTTTATTGGAAAGGGAAATTTACAAAGAGAATGGGAGACAGAGAGAAAGGTCCTCCATATGTTGCTTCACTCCCCAAATGGCTGCAATGGCCAGAACTCAGCCGGCCTGAAGCCAGGAGCCTCTTCCAGGCCTCACATGTGTGTGCAGGCTCCCAAAGCTTTAGGCCGTTCTCCATTGCTTTCCCAGGCAGGGAGCTGGATGGGAAGTAGAGCCAGGGCACAAACCAGTGCCCATGTGGGATGCGGGTATTTAGAGGTGGAGGATTAGCCAATTGAGCCATTATGGTGGGCCCCAACAAATTGTTTAAAATTTTGAAATTTGAAGAGTCAAAGAAGCTTTAACAGCAACATCGTTAATTTCTTTTCATTTAAGACTCATTTTAACTAGTAAGTCTCAATAAAGGTCCACTTTCCTATCATGTCATTGATGATTAACTGGTAAAATTATTAATAAAAATGAAAGATTTCTAATTGCAGTAAGCCCAACAGCTGGTTGTAGTATTTTTAAGCCATTGAAAGGCAGCAAAATCTGATCAACAACAAAACTGTGACCAACGACAACACTCATAGATACCGTAGTGATAACTCACTCCCACAGGGGCATAATGCAGCACTGGGAGCCTCTGGGACTTAAAAAGGAGCACTTTCCAGGGAACAGGTGTGCTGCAAATGTACCACGCCTACTGTTATTGAAGAAACAAGAGTGCAAGAAAATATTTCGACTAACACAGAATTAGGATCTTCTATGTGTATTTCTTATTTGATTGTCAACCACCTTACATTTAGAACACTTGCCAACAACCATTGGCATATACTCAAAACTAATATAGTGCCTAAATTTCAGCAGTGCTTACCAGAATGCGTGCCAAGGAGTAGAAGCATCAGTTCAAACAGAAGAAAGTTGGCTTCAAGAACTGGCTGATAAAAAACAAACCCGTGAGTAGTTGCATTTCCTAGCTCTGGCCACGAGGTGGAATTACATATTGGAAATGTCACAGCTGTAGAAGACCAGGTTCCAACCCCAACCCCAACACAAGCACATTGGCCAAACTGCCTCACCCCCTGAACCTGGTTATCTCACATTATCAGGGGGTTGTTTTGAAGATCAAATTGAGAGTACATATTTAAACACCTTGATATTAGAACTTATCAAGTGGTCGCATTTCTGTTCACATCAAGGAATAATCTGCCACTATATTTATACAAATATCTTTTTTGTTATAGAAATAACATGCCAAAGACTTCAAAAATGTAATGGAAAATACACACATTATCTTTGTTTATTTAAAAGATGGAGGGCCCCTATATGCTGGTTTACTCCCCCAAATACCTACAACAGCCCAGCCTGGGCCAGAGCTAAAGCCAAGAACCAGAATTTGATCCAGGGCTCCCACATTGGAGCATGCATTAGCAGGAAATCTGAACTAGAGAGAGCAGAAACTCAAACCCAGTGTGAACCAACACACTAACACACCTGTCCCTCCACTGTTATTTATTTTCATCAGGATCCTTAAGCTCATTTGTGGAACCATCATTGTGGCATCACTTGCTTTGACAACATCTTTTGCTGGAGTACTAGTTTCAGTCCCAGCCGTTCTGCTTCCAATCCAGTTCCCTGCAAGTGCGCCTTGGAAAGCAGTGGAAGATGGCCCAAGTGCTTGGGCCCTTGCCACCCTCACATCTCAGTAGCCCCTATCCTTTGCTCTGACCTTGAATGTTGCTCTGCTTAATGTTTCTTCATGCCAATCCCATTTGCTTTAAATCTTCCAGACATGTTGATGGCCATCTTCTCCATTTCCAGTGCTCTGCAGGCTACACACAGAGTAACCCTGCTGGTTGAAATCTGGGTCTTGAACTCCATCCCCACGATACTTATATGAAGCAGAAAACAGAAGTGGCTGTTTGGTTTTTGGTCATGACACCTATTAGGATGCCAGATTATCACATCTGTGCCTAGGTCTAATTCCCAGCTGTGGCTCCCCGTTCCATCTTCCCTGAGGGAAACCGGGTGGTGGTTCAAGTAGCTGGGGACCCCCCCCACACACACTCCTGTGGAGAAGCCTAGATTGAGTTCCTGTCTCCAAGCTTTGGCCTTGCCCCGTCCCAGCTGCGTTGGGGAGTGAGACAACAGTGCGTGGGAGATCTCTGTCTCTCAAAGTAGATATTCTTTTCAGTCTTTAAAAAACAAAAGCACAAAACAAAAACGTGTGCAAAACATTATAACAAAAGATTCACTCTTGTAGGGCTAGGAAGGAAGGGAGAAATGGTCTGACACGTGACAAGCATAGTACATTTCCTCTGATCCTTATTGCTGGTTCAGTGTTCATTGGAAAAAGGCAAAAGACAATCACAACAAAGACACTGGTTCTTCTGAGACGCGTTTCCTCCCTTAGTCCTCTCCTCTCCGGTATCATCGGGATTGATGGCAAGTATACTCGCTTTTCACAGGGGAGAAAGCAGTCCACCAAAAAAAGGAAGCTGGAGCCATAAGCCAAGCTGCTAGGCTTAGAGGTAAGTGGACCTGGGGCCTCAGCCCTTCTGCCTGGAGAGACAGCTGCTGGTAGGGAAGCCGCCCTAACCTGCACACTGCCCACACCTGGGCAAGAGTACGCCTCTGGAAATGTGTGCAAAGCTGTCGGTCGGCAGCCAGGGTGCTCACATGGTGAGTGTGGGATGGACCAGAGGGGATGGAGAAACCAGAGAAAAAGAGAAACACAGCACAGCGGTGGTGACCCTTCCCTCTAAACGTATCCTTTCTCTTCAGAAAAGTGGGTAATTAACCCAGAAGAGACAACACTAAGTATCTTAAATGAGCTCGAGGTAAGAAATGCTGATCACTTCAAGTAGCACACTGTTCACCCGGTAGGAAAAGCTGGTTGACTCTGCAGTCTCTCTGTGTCTCTAATTCAGTTTCAGGAAGACTTCATGACACTGTTTGAGCCTTCGCTGAGAACATTACCCAGCACAGGGCCACCAGCCATTTTGGCGTACAAAAAAGAGACTTCAAATTTAGACATTAATTTCAAGGTAAGTTTAATCTATAGATTTTATCATTATTCTTTTTTCTTAATGACATAAAAATCCACATAATGTTTGCACAAAAGATGTCAAACATACTTTAGAAAGAAAAAAAAAATGCAAGGCACACCTTCTTCTAGAATCAGACCCAAGGCCTGGCAGTTTTAGCCTCCATAGAGATTGAAATGAAGTGCCAGGAGCTGGGTGGCCTACACCAACTGAAACAAGCGTAGCATGGTTCCAGGGCCAGGAGTTCCAACTCAAGGTCTCTGCACAGGGCCCACATGGGAAGGAGGCCTTGTTAAGTGTGTCCTCACTCTGGTGGTGGTCGCCCCTCCCTGGCATGGCTCAGCTGGCAGCTGCCTCAGTGCAGTCCCTGTCCCAGCAGTCAGGAAATTCCCTGTGTCCACATGTCCCCCATTTCTTAAGGACACTTGCTGCCCGAGGGCCCATGTGAAATACTTCCTCTGAACTTGATTCCATCAGCAGGGATCATCCAATATTTCCAGGCGTGGTCATGCCGATAATGCTGTGCAATGATTTAACACCTGTGACTGATGGGCAACGGAGCAAATCAGTAACGCCAACAGAGTAGTGGCACAGCCCCCTTCACCAGAATGATGTGTGTGGACTTAGTGGTGAGATGATCCACCTGGACTGGATGCCCTGCACACTCCCCAGATCAGGGTCTCTGATAACTTCTGGAGAGCACAACAGGCTCAGGTTCACGCACGGACAGTAGGAGGCACGGATGGCGTGAGGCAGCACGTGTGGGATGCATGTGCATGGAGCGGGAGAGAGGCTCTGTGGCCACGTTACCATGATGTTCTTTGGCACACGGTACAGCACACTGCACTGCACAATGCTGATGACACAACACATCAAATATCCGTGCAATGTAACAGCAACACCTAGCTGCCCAGGTTCCCAAGCTTTCCGATCACCCTACTGACTCAAGCTGAAAATGTTTTCAAGAATATCTTGAATGTGTCTGTTCTGTTGAGAGACAGAGTATATATCATCTGTTGATTGATTCTCTTAAATGCCCGTAGTGACCAGCACTGGATTGGAGCCAAAGCTTAGAAGCCAGGAATGCCATTTCTGTCCCCTCTACAGGGTCAGGGCTCCAACTACCTGAGCCAACCTGCCTCTCAGTGTCTACTTTCAGCAAGCTAGAATGGAGAATCAGAGCAGCGTTCAAACTCAGCCTCTCCCAAATGGCTTCCTAGCATCCTAGCCAGTGTCCCGGACCCCAGGCGGAACACCTGCCTCTGGGCTGGATTACTTTTTTCTCTTATATAAAAAGTCTCTTGAGCTGAGGTTACAGTCTGTCCCTTCTCCCTGCCACCCAGAGATGAACTTGAGCATGGTCTTCCCTCTGGGACACATAGCTGCACCAACACCCAGTCAAGGCCAGTCCCTGATGCTCAGGTAAGCCTCTCACATCCAGCATTAACACTAGTCTGGTTCAGGGAGAGCCACAGCAGCTGGCTTGGCCAGCTCTCCTCTCCAGCCACACCCTCTCCCGGTGTGGATTCCAACTCCAGATTCCATCTTGCTTCATCTCCGGATGGAAGGAAGGGGCCACAGGCCAAGCCCTTTGTAGAACACAGCTTATGGGGGGCTTTTCTTAGCATTGCTAAGCTCTCTCTCAGCCCTGCTCAGTCATCTGAGAACTGTGCTAGATTTTTCATCCTGATTCTCTAATGCAAGACTTTACTCTCCATTCTGCTTTGCACAAGGCGCACAGTGATTGTTGGTGAACAGATTTGATGATGCCTTGAAGGACAGTAGTTGAATGGTCGTTGCTCTGAGATGGGGACTCCTGGCTGCCCCAGCCATCTTTAGCCATGTGGGGCACTGTTGTCAGTCTCAGAGGATGGTTTCCATGGCACATGTAGCTGCCCTGGGGAAGTTCATGGCGGGAGTCTTTTCCTGGAGGCCTGGGTGGAGTCTGGCTGCTTGCCTGCAGGGCACCTGCTGGCACAGATTATGAGCCCCTCTGGAAATCATTTGGCCTTCACTCTCTCCCCTGCCTCTTCCCCTCCCCTCTCACCTTGCTCTCCTAAACTACCATCACAGCACAAATGCCCAAGCAGCAACTCGGGGTCCCTCTGAGAAAGGGCTCTCCGTTAGCATTATGAAGTTAATTGATTGGTAGCCTACCTAATAGTTACAAGACTTTCTCTTTAAAAAAAGAGTGCAATTGATTCGAAAGGGAGAGCAACACACACACACACACACACACATCTTTCTACTAGTGGTTCACTTCCCCAAAGCCCATAGCAGCCAGGGCTTGGCAAGATCAAAGTTAGGACCAGGGACTCCATGTAGGTCTCCCGTGTGGGTGACAGAGATCCAAATGCTTAACTTACCACCTGCTGCCTCCCAGGCAGTGGGATTGAAAGTGGAGTGGAACTGAAACCCAGGCCCTCCAATAGAGAAGGCAGGCATCCTAAGAGGCATCGCCAAACCACCGTCCTGACCCCCCTACCCCGCCCCTTATCAGGCCCTTTAAAAAAAACAATTCAGTGATATTCAAACACCTTGGACTAGTTGCATAAAATCTAGTATGGGTTTCTTGCCTTCCATGTCAGTGCACACTACACATGTACCTACCCCACAAGGGACTGTGCGTCCTCAGTCATTTCTGCAACCTCCTGCTGAGACGGGAGAGGCCTCCGGGGACACCGAGAGCTCGGCCTGGGCTCAGCCTAGTTCTGCTCAGTTGCAGCAGTCTCTTGGAGTGCCCCAGGCCATCTGGATCCTCAGCAGCTCCCGACTGAGTGACTGGACTAGTATGCCATACATATTGGCAAGCCAGGGTAGGGGGTAGGCCTGGTTGGGGTTACTGTGGGCCACCCTGACTGGGCTGCAGCTCCTACTGGTACGTGCAAGGGCCAAGTGTGTCCAGGGCGGAACCAGGCCAGACTACAAGAGGACACGGGTGGAGACAGAACCAACCCAGCAACTGCAACCACCAGCTGATCGGGGCAATGGACTGTGCCAGGCCCTATGCTTACTAGAACGCGCAGGAATCTGGACTGGGAATACCTGAAAATTTCTTTGAGGATCTCCCCAGTTGAGACACCGGACTCAGAGTCCTAACCAAGTAAAGACAGAACAAGTCAAGCAACAACCTCAGCTACCTGTTGGCAGCAAAAAACTGGGCAAATGGAGACTCTTTAGAAGGGACTGTGTCAATCAATGGACTCTTCAACGACCACATCGTGCTTGGAGTGGCGAGACTGGCAGCGACCCATGAATGGTGAACTATTGGAACCACTTGATCGAGTATCTCAGAGCATGCCCCACATCCGGGACTTAGGGTGGGTGGGAAACTGGGTGGGGCTTCTTCCTCTATATCCCCCTTTAGGTCTTGAACCTTTTTTACCCCAATTAAATATGTAAGGATTGTCAAAATAAAAAGAAAAAAAAAGGATCACTGGTCTCACTGTTAGGTGCCTCCTGGTAGAGAATCCCAGTGCCCTGAAAGTGCCACATCGACTATTTCTGAGCAAGTTGGCAACCCCCTCCCCACCTGCTGTCCCACAGGACTTCCATCAGTCCTATCCAGGACCTGCTCCTGCTGCTCTCAGAGCTGCCAGGCTTCCAGTGGCCAGCTCATTTCTCTCTCTTTCTCTCTTTCTTTCTGAAGGATGAAGAGGAGGAGCTGTCGCCTGAGTGTGAATTTTGTGGCAGCGATCTCAAATCATTTTTTTCCAGCTTGGATATTTATTCTGACTACAGTTCCACCGAGCAAAAGAAATGTGTGAGTTTCAAGCCAGGCAGAATGAGTGTTTTTGTAAACACTATTTGTAAACATAGGTGGTATTTTCTCCTGCATTTTCCACCTGCATTGCTGTTGACAAAAGATGTATAGGCTAGCTGCTGGGGAAAAGCAGATCACAGCCACAACAGGACACCTCAGACCCACCAAACGGACAACGCTGAGAAAGATAATAGTAATTGCTGGCAATGATGTATAAATCTGTACATTTTTTTTTTCACCATAAGATGCATTACCCATGAACTTTTACAAATTTTTTTAAGAAGACACAGAGTACAACAGATCTTCCCTCTGGTTCACACTTCAAATACATGCAGCAGCTCAGGCTGGGCAAGAACAAAGCCAGGAGCCCAGTATGCAGTCCAGGGGCGGGTCCGTGTGCGTGGCTAGGACTGAAGACTGGAGCCATCTCCCCATGCTTCCCTGGTTGCATGTTAGCAGGAAGTCGGAACCAGAAGTGCAGCTGGAACCTGTACTCAGGCACCCTGATTCGGGATGTGAGCAGCCCAAGAGACATTGTAGCCACTCCACCAAACACTGACGCCATGATCTTTCTGAAGGCTCCTTGTACGCATGAGCAGCACAAGCTCTGCACCAAAACAGATTTATCTTGTAATTCTATCTTCCATTTATTTTGTGAAATTCCCTTATTTAGCTTCCCTATGACCCCATCATTCTGTTCTAAGGTTTGTATCCAAAGAAGTTGACAACATAAATCCATGCAAAAACTGACACAGGAGTGTTCATAACAGTGATTCCTGACAGGCAAAAAGCGAAAGACTCCTGCTGTCCATTAACTGATTAACACATAAATTAGGAATAGTAATTCACACAACGAAAGATGCTCATCCAGAAAATGAAATCTGAAGTACTAAAACACAATATATTATGGATGCATCCTGAAAACATTTTGCCAAGTGAAAGGAGTCAGGCGACAAGGGTCACACTTTTGTGATTCCAGGTATATGAGCTGTACACAATATGCAAATTTAGGGAGGCTGAAAATAAGCTTGTGGCTGTAATGGGGTGGAAGGAGATGCAGAGGGGAGGGGATGGGAGGTAGCAGTTTCATGTTCTAAGAGCATGGTGACTTTGCAAACATAAAAGCCAGCACCTTGCACCTGTCCTATGAGTGGATTATACAGCATGTGAATTACATCTTAATATCACTGTCACCAGAATGAACAAGAGAAAAGCTGTGCTGGAGCATCAGCCAAAGCCTATTCATCGTGTCCGGTGTCTGTTCCCTCTGATTGTTTTCACCTAGGGCTGATGATGCTAAAATGACCTTTTTGCTTCTCAGGCCTCCTGTTGCCTTCGTTTCCAGAACCTGATTGACTACGTCTATGAGGAAAATCAGAGAGTCCAAAGCTCTAAACCGGAATTAATCTGTATTGATCCTCATGCGTCCCACGGCAGCGAGGTTGAGAAACTCAAAGCGAAGGAGAAAGCCTTGAAGAGGTATGAAGAAGTTACAGGAAGCTTCCACAGGCTTCCACCTTCTGGGAAGCCCTGGGAAGAAATGGAGACTGGCCAAAGCAAAGCCATGATAATGGCTGGTAGATGTCATGGGAAAAGCTCTCGGGAGATCAGGCAGAGCATGGATGGAAAGCGGTCATTTACCAAGCCTAGGTTAACAGGATAACTCAGAATCCTCTGTGGGAGGAACGTGCCCGCCCCCCACGCAGGAAGGCAGCCTTCCGAGCTGGTCTGCATTCACAAGTGAAAACAGATAAAAGTTAAAAGGCTCCCCAAAGCTGACATTTGTCTTATCTGTCGTAAGCTTTAGCCACATCCCAGCTTTACGCACGTTTCTTTGTTTTGTAGAAAACAAGAGCAACTACTGGCTAAACAGTTTGTCAAAAAGTTTACTGAATACACAACTGCCTCCGAAGGTGAGCGTGTTGAAGTTGATGTTATAGACTAAGTGCATGTCATCCGACAGCTCCAACGTGTGAAGAGGAGAGCAAATCTGTGTTGTAAAAAATAATGCTGAAATTATTCACTCCCAAGTAATTACTCAAAGTGGCTTGGGAAAATCTGGTGTTTTAGTCATCTGAGTTTTGAAGTTTTTACTCGTCATCTCATTGTTAATATTGGTTGAAACACATCATTAACATCTACAGAGCACGTGACACGTAGCTGTGAAGAGTTCTCAAGATCATTGCCTCTCGTTTAATTAAGCACACATTCCATTTTGTTTTCAAATTGGGGTCTAGAAATCATGTCAAAAATCAATCTGGCTATTTTGCATATTGGTTCTGTCAGTTAACTGGCCAGTATAGCTATAGTTCTGGCATAGTTGAAGAATTACCAATTTTATTTTATTTTTTTCTTTTTTTAAAGATTTATTTATTTTTATTGGAAAGGCAGGTATATAGAGATCAAAAGAGATGGAGAGGAAGATCTTCCATCCAATGATTCACTCCCCAAGTGACCACAACAGTCGGTGCTGCGCCGATCCGGAGCCAGGAGCCCGGATCTTCTTCCAGGTCTCCCTCATGGGTGCAGGGTCCCAAAGCTTTGGGCCATCCTCAACTGCTTTCCCAGATCACGAGCAGGAAGCTCGATGGGAAGCAAGGGACACCAGGATTAGAACCAGCACCTATATGGGATCCTGGCAAGTGCAAGGCAAGAACTTTAACCACTAGGCTCCCGCACCAGGCCTGAATTATGAATTTTAGAAGCAGAAGATGGGGCTGGTGTTGTGGCTCTACAGATTAAGCCACTGTTTGCAATGCCAGCATCGCATTCCAGAGCCACAGGCGATTCCTGGCTGCTCTACTTCCTATCCAGCTCCCAGCTAACGTACCTGGGAAAATGGAGGAACATGACTCAAGTGCCTGGACAGCTGCTAATCTTGCGAAAGAACTGGAAGGAGTTCCCCACTCCTGCCTCTGATTCCAGCCTTGCCAAGTTCCACCCGTGGCCATTTGAGAAGTGAACCAGTGGTTGGGAAGTTCTTCTCTCTCTCAAATAACCAAATACATCTCAGAAGCGCTGGTTTGCATCCTGCTTCTCCTCTTACAGGCTGCCCAGTCTGGGGTAAATTAGACCATCCTCTGAGCACTGCTCAGTCACTGAGCTCAAATACCTAGCGAAGACATATATTTTTGCAATTAGATCCTTAAGGCCATAAAACTTGATAGTCAACCTTCTCAAAGGTCAAAAATGCCACTTTCTTCATATAATAAGAGAACGTTCTCGATTTTTAGCGAAAGAAGCTCCTCACTGACGTAATGCAGGTCCCCGCTCCCCGCCCCCCCACCCCCTTGGGAAGAAATGAGTCTGAAGAATCAATGATTTGTAATGGGGTTGGGAATTTTTTACTTTAGAAGAAAGGTTTGTTCCAACGTTAAACATGTAAGTTCTTTCATACTATTATTTCCCCCACTCAGATCCAAAGCATTTAAGAACGATTACCTACCAACTCTCCATGAATGTTCCAGAAGAAAAGACAGTTGAGGGGAGTCTGCTTGACCTGCAGCTGAGCAGCAGCTTCTCCATCGTTTGCTGTGATTCTAGGAGTGTGTGTGGAAAGGTAATGACTGCGAGGACTTTTGCTCGCCATTTTTAAGACTGTGCCAATTTTCTAAGGTTCGTCTTGCCATATACACTTCCTATGTCCAATTTATGTGTATACACATGCTGTTTTTCCTGAAATAAAGGGCATCAAGATATGATGTGGGGTTAATGACGATGGTCATAAAGTGAACAATAGGTCATCCTGAGGGTAACACAGTTCAGCGGAGACAGCATAACTATGTACAGGCCTGGCCTTTTGACTTCTCCTAGGTTTTAAAGCAATGTCTTAAGAAATCTTTTTGGTTAAGACCTCTTTAGTTCAAAATGTGCTAGTTATACATTACAGAAACACTGGAAATCCTTGGAAGAGTAAAAACATGAGGGGTTCACCTCACGTCCCAAACTATCATTAATATCCCAATATGTTTTGGATATGCACTGCCCAGGAAGGTAGCAAGAGGTAAGTTCATTAAAACCAAAGTTGACAATGTCAACCTTCAGCGTACTGGTCATATGGAGTCCCATGTAGCTGGGTGTGAGCACAGCGCAGACGCAGGACATGCATCGACTGTACAGCACGCGTCTCAATCTTTGTTCCTTCCACAGGTTTCTGTCACACACCTGTAACTATTATAGAAGTTTTCATCTATTATCAAACTCAATCGTAAAAGTACATTCTCCCAGGCCGACATTGGGTGCGGCAGCTAACAACACACTACCTGGGACTATGTGTCCTGGGTCCAGCTGCCACGTTCTGGTCCTGGCTAGGCTTCCAACCCCAGCTCCCTGCTCATCCGCACCCGGAGAGGCCGCAGGAAAGACCCAAGCCCTTGACTCCCTGCCGCCCACACAGGAGACTTGAACGGAGTTCTGGGTTTCTAGTTCCAGAGCGTGCGAGTAGTTACCACACTGCAATACTGGAGGAATGATTACAAGGAAAAAGAAATGTAAGCTGGGCAAGTCCAATCAAGATGCAGAGTTTCTGAATATTTCTGATCTGCAGTTGGGTGAAATCCACAGATTCAGAACCCCTGAGCGCAGACAGCTGACCGTGCAACCTTCTGAAATCCTCGGCTCAGAACAAAGGAAACAGATTCACTTCAGGCCATCACAGATGAGGTTTCCTAACAGAGATTTCGAAAGCAGCCAGAAAAAGAGTAGAAACAGAGACATACCTTCCAACCTAGTAAAGGTGGAACAAAAAATGCAATGATTTGCTTTAAATTCACATATGACAAAGACAGGTAAATGAGACACACATAATACATGGACAAGTAGAAAGCATTAATATTAGTTATTGTACATATTGTGTTATAAATAGACTAATGCTCCAGTTAATGAGACAAAACTGTCAGACTGAAATGTTATTTAAAAAGAAAGAATTCCAACTATATTCTTTTTATAAAGGACATATGTGATATTAAACATAAATAATTAAAATATAAACATAGCAGGCCTGGTGCAGTAGCCTAGTGGCTTATGTCCTCGCATTAAACACACAAAGATTTCATATGGGCGCCAGTTCGTGTCCTGGTGGCCATGCTTCCCATCCAGCTCCCTGCTTGTGGCCTGGGAAAGCAGTCAAGGTCAGCCCAAAGCCTTGGGACCCTGTCCCCGCATGGGAGACTTGGAAGAGGCTCTAGGCTCCTGGCCTTGGATCAGTGCAGTTCTGGCCGTTGCGGCCACTTGGGGAGTGAATCATTGGATGGAAGACCTTCCTCTCTGTTTCTCTTCCTCTCTGTATATCTGACTTTCCAATAAAAATAAATAAAGCTTCTTAAAAATATGTAACGATATCAATGCTAAATATAAATTTCAATATTATAAAAATATTACCATAAATAAATGCATCAGTTAAAGACATTATCAGATATAAACAGGATCACTCTGTAATGATACATCTTCAGTATACCAGGAAGATACCATGTTATAATACATTTCGCATATCAACACAATCTCAAAATATTTAAAGTAAAATTTTGCTGAAGTAAAAGGAAAAAATAAAGAAACTGTTCAATCCTACTTCATTCAATTATGGAGAAGGCTACTAGACAAGGGGGGGGGACAGCAATGCCACAGATATCTGAGCAATTAATTTAACAAAGCAATTTTTGAAGATCCATATATTAATTTGAAAGGCAAAGTGACTCAGACAGAGAGAGAGATCTTCCACCCACTGGCTTATTAACCAAATGGTCACAACGACAGGGCCAGGCCAGGTTCCAAACGAGGAGTCAGGAATTCCTTCCAGATCTCCCACATGGTGGCAGGGGGCCAAGTGCTTGGTCATCATCTCCTGTTAAGTATATGGAGGCTGGGAAATTTTTGTAGGTTGATCCCAAAATGTAAGTGATGGTATCTAGAGCTTAGAATGTTCAACGTACGCCTAAAGAATGCAGGAGAGACAGACTGTTCTCTGCTGCGTAGTGGGATCTATTGAAGATAAAATAACAGAGTCTGAATGAGACTCATGTTCATGGGACATGAACATCTGATCTGTGCAGGTAATGGTGTTGTGCAATAATGGAGGAAGGAGCATCCTGTCAACACCTAAGTCTCCATTCTTAAAGTGCAATTGACACTTTACTCAAATAGCTTAAAGACCTAACTGTAAAATGTAAAATTACAAAAGTTTTTTTTTTTTTTTTAAGCTAGGACAGCTTTATGACTTCAGCTCAAGGATTTACTAGAGTTAGACAAAAGCAGCAATCCTGAAGGCGCTGGTACAGGACAATTCAAATTGTGAAAAACAAGAACAGAGCTGGATCTGCAACACAAATGACATGCAGAATCCTTGCATGCCACATGAAAAAGGAATTTTATAGATTCACTTTTTTTTTAAAGATTTATTTGTATTGGAAAGTCAAATATACAGGAGGAAGGGAGACAGAGATCTTCCAACCAATGATTCATTCTCCAAGTGGCCAGGAGCTTCTTCCAGGTCTCCCACGTGGGTGCAGGGTCCCAAGGCTTTGGGCCGTCCTCAGCTGCTTTCCCAGACCACAGGCAGGGAGCTGGATGGGAAGCATGGCTGGGATTAGAACAGGCATCCAGATGGGATCCCACCATGTGCAAGGTGAGAACTTCAGCCACATGGCTACAATACCAGGTTCTATAAGTTGACTCTTAAAAAAAAATCAACCTACTACAAAAATAGGCCCCCCAAAATTGAAGAGATTCATCACAAGCGAGAAAATTGAAATCGTCAATAAGCATTTGAAAAGGCACTCAATCATCTTGGTCACTTTAGAAATCAAAATTCAGGGAAGGGTGACTAATCCTGTAGCTGTAAGTGCCAGCATTTCATACAGGCACCAGCTCATGTCCCATCTGTTCCACTTCTGCTCTAGCTCCCTGTTTATGGCCTGGGAGGGCAGTGGAGGATGGCTCAAGGCTTTGAGACTCTACACTGGCATGGGGAAACAGGAAGAAGCTCCTGGCTCCTGGCTTCAGATCAGCTCAGCTCCAGCCATTGTGGCCATTTGGGGGTGAACCAGCAGGTGGTAGACCTTTCTCTCTGTTTCTCCTTCACTCTCTAAATCTGCCTTTGCAATAAAAATAAGTAAATAATTTTTTAAAAATGAAAAATATAAACCACAATTAGAGATCAATTCATACCAGCACATAGACAAAAACAGAAACATTTGAGAGTACTAAGTTTGGAAAAAGGTAACAGCTGTCGTTCTGCGCCTGTCCTGGAATTGGCAATTAATGTAACGCTTGTGCCTCATTTTGGCATCATCTGGTGAAGTTGAAGATGGGTTTCCTGGGACTCAGCAATTCCACCTGAAGGTGCGATGTGTTTAAAGGACTGAACAAGAGCATCACAGACGATCACAGCATTGCTGTCTGTACCAGCCCACCACTGGGAGCAACACAAGGTTCCTTAACACAGTACGATGGATAAACAGGCAGTGATAAAGTCATCCCCCAGAGAACTGTAACCAGATGAAAACTGCCGTACGGGCACGGACACACATGATGCTAACACGGAAATAAGACCAAAAAAAAAAAAAAAAGATGCAATGCACAATTGCTTTTTATATAAAATTCAAAATCAAGAAAATCCCTATTGTTTGGGAATGATAAAAGTACAAAGGAAAGAGATTACTGTGCAATCACACTGCTGGTTATACTTCAGCAGGAGACGCGGGCCCATGGAGTGTCAGCCACGCTCCAGTGTGCTTCCTGACCTGGACGGTGACCTGCACAGGTGTTTGCTTCATGGTTACTGGTTAACAAAACAGTGGGTTTTAGTATTTGCCTGGATGTATTCCATGTCTCATAATTTTTAGATGCTTAACCATGTTTCCAAAAATATGTTGTTTGACTGTGTAGGCTAGGAATTTGTGTATTAATTTTAGTGCAATCCAAGATAGTGATTTATAAAATGAATCTCTAGTTTGTCATAAATAAGGTAGGGTGCCAATTCACTTCCTTCTTGAACTTTGCATTTAAAATAATTGAAGTTGGAGATGCAGAAAAAATCTCCTATATGTCTTTATTCACTTTGTTACACTCCACTTAATGCCATAATCTGAACTGTAAGAACAACCTGGAGGAGACACGAGCCACCGCAGCTTTTACTGGAGTGCTTTTCCTTTCCTCTCCTTTTTCTCTCTCTTTTTAAAAGATTTAGTTAATAACTCGGAAGGCAGAATTGCCAAGAAAAATAGCGAGAGATTAATCTTCCATCTGCTGACTCACCCCAAAATATACAGGTTGGTTTGGGATGGACCAGACAAAGCCATAGACAAGGAACTCCATCTGCATCCCCCTTGCAGCTCGACCAGCATCCAAACACTACTCCATCTACCAGCACATTATTAAGGACCTGGATGGGACATGGAGCAGCCAGGACTCCAGCAGCCATCCCGATGTGAGATGTTGGTGCAGCAAGTGGCAGCTGAACTTGCTGCAACAATGGCAGGACCTGCTTTTCCTTTTTTAAGCCAAGTTTACTCAAGTAAAATTTATATCTAATGATAGTTATCCTTTACAGCCATTTGGTTTTAAAAATGTGATAGACTGCATAAGCCACCACCACAATTGGGATATGAAATGTTTCCATTTGCTAGGAGCCTTTTTTTTTAACCTCTTTTTCTTATTATCATTTTATGATACAGTTCCATAGGCCCTGGGATTTCCCTTGTCCCCTCCCCAATTCCTTCCCCCCTCACTGAGTTCCCCTGTATCATTACTAAAGTATAGTTCTTCAAACACAGTCATATGTCCATCATTGCGGGCATGGACAATGGCAGAGAGTCCAGCATCCTATTGTCAAGATATAGTAAACAGTTTCATTGGGAGTCCATCTTTGTCTGGAGGTAGAGATGCATACTGCACTGTATCCTCATATCTGGATATGATAGTCTCCATTACACAGTTGCTGTACATCCCCTTAAATAAAAAGCCACAAAACAAAATCAACAACAGGAAGAAAAATAAGAAATTTACAATGCCATGAAGTTAAATAACATGCTACTGAATGACTAACGTGTCGCTGAAGAAATGAAACAGAAAATCAAGAACCTTCTTGAAGAAAATGATGCTACTGTATGATCTATGAAGAATTTAATCAGAAGAAAGTGTTTTAAAGAGATGAAACTAACAAGAAAAATCAAAATCCATGAGAAATGTAAAATGTGAAATGTGTCTCCTGTAGGCAAGAAATAGATGGGTTTTGTTTTTTAATTCAGTCTATTTATCTATGTTGCTTGATCGATGTGCTTAAGCTGTTTACATTCAGGGTTAATATGAATGGGTGGTAATTTGGTCCTGTCATTTTAGCAATGTTGTTAAATGATTTACACTTTTGCTGTTATTTTACTGGGATGTTCTTTGCATTTGTCTATGGGGTTTGGTAGGCCCTATTCCTTTTCTCTGTCAAGAGAACATCTTGAAGTATCATTTGTAGAGCAGGTTTGGAAGAGGCATACTTTTAACTTTTCTTTACTGCAGAAGAATTTTATTTCATTTTCAAAGACAAAAGAAAGCTTTGCTGGATATGTTATCCTAGGCCGACAATTTCTGCTTCTAGAATCTGGAATATGTCACTCCATTCTCTTCTTGCCTGTAGAGTTTTCTGTGAGAGATCTCCTGTGAGTATAATTGGCATTCCTCTATATGTCAGTTGATTTTTTTCACGTGCACATTTAAGGATCTTTTCCTTACGTTCAATTGAAAAGAGCTTGATGACCACGTGTCTTGGTGAAGATCGCTTTTGGTCAAGCCAGTTGGGAGTTCTGTGCCCTCCTGGATCTTGTTTCCCAGTTCTTTCTCCAGATGAGGGAAATTTTCCTTTATTATTTCCTTGAATACATTTGTAAACTGAGCTTCTCTTTCTGCACCTTCTGGGACTCATATAATTCTTATATTTGACCTTTTAATAGTGTCTTTTAATTCTTGAATACTTTTTTGGCCCGATCCAGCTCTGCTTCCAGCTTTTTGTTTGCTTCTCCCTGGTGACAGGAAATATCTTCCAATTCTGAGATTCTTTTTTCTGCTTCATTTATTCTATTTTGGAGACTCTCTACTGCACTTTTAATTTGCTCTACTGTGTTCTTAATTTCTGATATATCAGCTTTCATTTGATTCATTTCCAGTGTGACATATCCCTTAAATTCCTTGCATGCCTGCTTTATGGGCTTCTCGTGTGGATAAGAAGCTTTATAACAAGTGTTTTGAATTCTGTATCCCCCATTTTCTTGATGTCCTTCTCAGTTATTTCTAAGGTTGGCAAAGGGTTTTGCTCCTTGGCAGGGGAGTCTTCAGTAATATTTATTGTGCCTCTGTCTCTTCTTTTGCTCTTAATCATTGTACTTCTGGTTATCAGAGTCTTTTCCTTCGGGCAGGTTTCTAAGCTGTGTCACCCACAGGTCTACAATTCAATTTTACTTATTGCAGTTGGTACATGGCTCCCTCCAGCGAGTTCCAGGTGTGGGTTCTTATGTTAAATTTCCACCATGATCTCCATAGCCCCAGCTCTTGGCTCACCAGTCTCTGTCTCCTGTGATACCAGGTTGATGCTGCACCATTGTCTGTGCAAACTTTCTCCCACTTCGGTTGCAGCAGGTCCCAGCATTAGGGAGACACCAGGTGTCCTTAGCTAAGTTGTTGATGGTGCTGATCCTGCCAGAACCTGCTGGTCATTAGATCTGAGGGCCACACACTCCTACTTTGACCCAATGATGCCATAGTCGGTATTATTTTCCTGTGGGACCAGTGCAATGCAATGAACTCAGTGAGCTCAGCGCATGTGCAGCTCACTGTTTTCCCTGCAATCTTAAATTATTTGCCACACCATATGAAATGGCGCCTGGTGTGCCATTTCTTGATCTGTTGGTCGTCAGGTCTGAGGGCTACCTGGACCTATCTTGGGTGGAACTGGTAGGATGCCACATTGTTGCAGTTCACTGAGCCAAAAATGGATTCACTCTCAGCTTAGTACTTGCACAGTATTGTCCATAGCCCTTGCCTCCTTAAATAAAATGGCATTCGATTCAGCTGTAGAGAGTGGCTTGTGAAATCCACACTCTTCCCACACTGCCCCTCTGGGATCTGCTGCTCTGTCTCTGATCCTGGTCAAATAAAACAGACCAGCAAGATGGGCAGTTCTGTGTCTGGGTTCACCTCCTGAGCTCCTGGTAAATGTCCCTTCCCACGTTGCTGGTGGAGTTCTAGCTGCCGGTGGAATTCAGATGGCCGCTCACTGAATGCCACTGGGGTATCAGTCACTGCAACACCACACCGTTGTGTCCACTGATTTTCTGTGTCTGTCATTCTCCAGGTACCCCTCTGCTGTTGTTCTGTCCTCTTCTATTTCCTGAAATATGCCCTCTCTGCTTCACACTGGCTAATAGTTCTCCGTCTGTTTAAACATGTCCTTACCCTATTTCACCATCTTGATTCCCACAGGGGCTGGTTTTTAGCTGCTTTTGTTTTTATAGCAATGTATGTGTGAAATTAAGAACTAACAATACAAACAAGCAAACAAATGGCAGGCATGTGACCTAGTGGTTAGGATAGCACTTGAGGAGGGACCAATTTTGTAGTACAGCAAATTAAACCTTCCCTTGTGATGCTGCCATGGAGATTGGCTCATCCACTCAAGTCCTAGCTGTTCTGCTTCCTATCCTGCTCCCTGCTAATGCACAGTGGAAGCAGAAAATGATCCAAGTATTTGAACCCCTGGCCGTCCTGTGGGAGACCAGGATGGAGTTCCTGGCTCCTGGTTCCAGACTTCTGCCTGGCCTAGCCCTGGTTGCTGTGGCCATTGCAAATTGAACATCTCTTTCTCTGTATTTCCTTCTGTGGCACTTTGCCTTTTAAATAAATAAAATCAATCTTTAAAAAAAAAAGAGACACCACTTGGGATACCTACATCTCATATTTGAGTTTTGGGTTTGAGCCCTGACCTCCTTTGCAGTCCCAGTTTCCTGGTAATGGACACCTAGGGAGGCCACAGGTGACAACGCAATTACCTGGATCCCTGATACCCATGGCGTGAGGCTGGACTGAGCTTGCAAACCCCAGCTTTGGCCTGACCCATGCCTGTTGTGGGCATGGTGTGTGTAGAGTGAACCAGTGGATGGAACATTTCTCTCTCTCTCCCTCTCTTCAATATTTGAAAGAAGTAAACTTCAAATAGATTTGTAATGACATACTTCTACCAGAAAGGTTGTATCAGTTATGCTAAAAATGATCAGGGACTATCAAAGATTGCTAAGGACTGCCCCCTCAAACTGAAGGCAGGGAGCAAAAAAATGTAGTCAAGAAATGATGTGTGTCGCTGGCTAGCCCACAGTGTTCATTGATGTGCTTAACGCCTTGTGTTTGAAACCAGTAAGAGTGAGTGTTCTGGTGTCTTGTGCCGTGTGCAGGTTGTGAGGGACCAGTTCCTGGAAAAGCACTACAGACACGGGAGCAAGTTTCTGACATCCTTTCCCGATGGGACAATGCAAATATTGTATCCTTTTTTCAACAATCTCTTTTTGTTGGCTGTTCTTTTTTTTTTTTTTAACTCATTTAAAAACAGGGGGAAAAATACAAAAAAGGTATTACCTGCAAAATTCTAGTATCCAGAGGCGGGCTGGTGACATTTTTAAAGATACCTTTTGTATTTTCTTTGCTATGAACATACACAAGGCTACTTTCTCTGCATTCCCCTCTGTGGCAGTTTGCCTTTTAAATAAATAAAATCAATGTTTAAAAAAAATGCGACACCATTTGGGATACCCACATCTCATATTTGAGTTTTGGGTTTGAGTGCTGGCCTCATTCACAGTCCAAGTTTCCTGGTAATGGATACGTAGGGAGGAACATATACAAGGCTGCTTCAAGAAGTTCTTGAAGAAGTGAATTAAAAATATGAATTTATTTTGCTGCAAAAGAAACTGAAAACCATGTATATAGTGCTTTCATAATATACTGTTCCCATGCTTCATGAAAAAAAGATTTGCACCAAAATAAATTCTTACTTTTTCATTCCACTTTCCCATGAATGTTTTGAAGTATTCTCATGGAGTTCTTTAGAAGTCACCTGTTAAGTATGTATTTTGTAACTGGTCCTTATATATAATAGATGCTATGAGTGTATAATATGCAACCTATACCAATATGAGAGTACTGTTTCCATATTCACATAATATTTCATTACTGCAGTGTATGAGGGTCCTTCTAGAGGGTCCTGGAAAATGTTATTCCTTCTTTCTGCCCATGAACTTTTTGGAGTACGCCTGTGCTGTGCCTAGCTCCTGTGACCGATCAAAGACGGCTCGTAATGCTTACTGTTTCATCTGATAGCTACAGGAGCACCTTTGTACAAACTTACTAAGTTATTATCTTGAATGAAACACCAAGTACTAGAAGTTCTGGGGAAGAAAGTTTTCCAGGATTTCCGTTCTCCCAGATGTAGACCAGCTTACACGTGTGTGAGGAGTGTTGCTATTTGTAACAATGAAACTCAACCTCCCTGAATGGAACTCTGAGTTATTGATCACCCAGACTTCCACCGCACGGCCAGGCCATTGGGCAGTTTGGCATGAAGTTCATTGAGCATCTGGAGGAAAGTGGAAAGAAGCAAGCAGAACACGGGCCCCATTTTTTTCATGAACTGAAGGTCTCCCTCTGTGAAGTGGTGGTCGCAGCTTCCTAAATGTTTAGCTAAACCACCAATAATAAACCAGAAAAATGACTTTCATGGCACAGGGGGTGAAATGAACTTTTAGTTCCTTGGGCCTTTTAAATAAAAGAGAAAGCAAGATTTGTTTTATTTATATATATATAAATATATATATAAATAAAAATATATATATTTAAATATATAATTATTTATATATTTAAATATATATATTAAATATATATATATATATATATATATATTTAAAAACCTGAAATAATTTACCCAGCTTTTGTTATTACTCATTTCCTGCCCTGACTTCATGGCTGATTTTCAAAATGACTCGGAATCAATCTTGTGCTTACTTTATCTCTGCATTTCTCATCAGCCTAGATATGGACTAAGTATAGCCTCAGTATATGTTTCATGCTGTTGTATATGGAGTTACAGTGAGCACAGCATTGTGGCCTAGTAGGCTATGCCTCTGGCTTCAGTGGCGGCATCCCTTAGGGACACCAGTTTACTCTCTGCTCATGATGTTGGAAAACAGATCCTTGAGTCCCTGCACCCACGTGGAAGATTCGGAAGAAGCTCCTGACTCCTGGTCTCAGAGCAGCTCAGCTCTGGCCATTGCAGCCATTTGGGGAGTGAACCAGCAGATAGAAGGGCTCTTCATCTATAACTCTGCCTTTCCAAAGAAAATAAATAAATAAATCTTAGAAAGAAAAGTAAAATGTCAGTAAGTCATCAGTATTCCCTTTTAAAAAGAGAGAGAAAAGTGGAGCTATAAAGTCTTAAGCTATTTTTATTTATTTGAAAGGCAGAGAGACAAAAAAGAAACCTTCTATTCACTGGTTTGCTCTCAAGATACCCAAAACACCACCAAGGGCCGTGCCAAGCCAAAGCCAGGAGTCAGAAACTACAGCCGCCCGTGTGGGTAGCAGAGACCCAAGAACCTGCACCGTCATCTGCTTCCTTCTTTGGAGCATGACAGCGGGAGGCTGGGCCAGATGTGGAGCCAGACGCAAAACCAAGCCGAAATGAGACTGAGGCTTGCTAAGCAGCGTCTCTGTAACAAACACTCCACCAAATACCCACCCCAGCTGAACTGTTCTCTTCATTCTCCTGACATTCACAGCTCAAGTGTAGAAATGTCACTTATATCTTACAGCCTACCACCATGAAGTGATTTATTTTGTGAATTCCTCAGGATTTTCTGTATATAAGAACGTGCGCCCTGCAAAGACACCCCTGCATTTCCCTTTCCAAGCTGGGTGCCGTTTGCTTATTTTCCTTTCCTGAACTCTGTGTGAGCAGCTCAACTCTTGGCTGGAAGTGGAAAGAGTGAGCCCCTTGCTTAGCTTCTTGACCGTAGGGAAAAGCACTCCAACTTTCCGTGCGAAGTGTAACTGTAGCTGTCAGCTTTACATAGACCTTCATCAGGTTGGGGACATTCCGTTCTACTTGTAGTCCTTGGACTCTTTATCACAAAAAAGGGGGGGAGGATTGGAATTTGTCAAATGCTTTTTTCTGTGGTTATGGAGATCATAATGTGTTTTCTACTCTTTACTGATATTTTGCATTCACTGATTTTCAGATGTTAAACCAACCTTGCATTCCCATGACAAATGACACTTCATCTTGATACATAATTCTTTTTTATATAATGCTAGATTCCATTACTCGTGGTTGTTTAGCATTTTTGTATCTCACAAAATGTATTTTGATCCACATGAAGAGCCTACATTTTAAATAATAATGTGCCCTATATTCAGAATGCTATGTAACTACACAAAGCCCTCTTTCACAGATTGAATGCTACCCCAGAATGGTCAAGCATCATTACAATTCACATTGCCTTATCTGAGTTCAGCTATCCATCTGGAAACCTAGCCATCATCCGAGTACCCAACAGGATAAGTGGATTCACTTGCATAGTTCAAGGAGATATGTCCAGTAACCCCTCGATCCTGGCAGTGTTGGACTCTTCTGGCAAAAGTTCCTGCTACCATCCTAATGGAAATGTCTGGTAGGAGCCTAGCTTCCTTCTGCTGCCATTGATTTTCTCTTACTTGAGAGACAGAGAGACAGGAAGACAGAGCTGCCCACCACCGGCTGGTTTGCTCCCCTCATGCTGTCACGGCCAGTGCTGGGCTGAGGCTGGAACTAGGAGCTGGGGACAGAGAAATCGATCAGGGGCTCCCAAGTGGGTGACAGAATTCCAACAACTTGAGCCATTAGTGTGCATTAGCAGGAAGCGGAAGTCAAGAGCTGGAGCCAGAAATCAAACCCAGGCAACAGAATGTGGGAGCTTCAAATCTTAACCACTATGGTAATGCCCGCTCTTATGTTTTATTTTGTGGGGAAAAATCATAAATGTTATGTATGGCTTGAAGTAATCTGTTTACGTTTGTAGTCAATAGATAGTAATGCTCAAATCTTCTGAAAAATCTTTCTAAGGGTGTGGCACAGTAGCCTAGTGGCTAAAGTCCTCGCCTTGCACATGCCAGGATCCCACCTGGGCACTGGTTCTAATCCTGGGCAGCCCCGCTTCCCATCCAGCTCCCTGCTTGTGGCCTGGGAAAGCAGTCGAGGACGGCCCAAAGCCTTGGGACCCTGCACCCACATGGGAGACCCAGAACAGGCTCCTGGCTCCTGGCTTCGTACAGGCACCGCTCCAGCCATTGCCGTCTCTTGGGGAGTGAATCATTGGACAGAAAATCTTCCTCTTTGTCTCTCCTCTTCTCTGTGTATCTGACTTTACAATAAAAATAAATAAAACATTTTAAAAATTCTTTTTAAAAAGATTTATCTGCTTATTTATTTAAAGGACAAAGTTACAGAGACACAGAGGGAGAGAGAGAGAGCTGAAGATCTTCCATGTTCCAGTTCACACCCCAAGAGGCCACAGGGGCAGGGGCAGGCCAAAGCTAGGAACCAGGAGCTTCATTTGGTCTCCACGTAGGTGGCAGGGACTCAGACCTGGGCCACGTTCTGCCCTTTTCCCAGGAACGTTAGCAGGGAGTGGTACTGGAAGTGGAAGCATCTGGGACTCAGCCAGCACTCCCAGGGGAGTCACATTTGCATGTAACAGTTTAACACAATGTGCCACAAGGCATTTTTGGTTTATGCATTTCATATGCTTCTCAGTAGAAAAAACCCAAGCAACTATACAAAGCAAGTCTTCATTATATTCATTATATGCATAGGTTGAGAAAAGAGGGACTGTACAATTGCAGTACAGAAATCTTGAAGAATTATGTGATCTTTTGGAATAAGAACCTAGCACGCCGACATTGAATACAGGTGTCTCAAGTGGCTAATTAACCACTACAACAAGCGCTCTCTCCAACCTATCTCATTAAGAATATTAAAGATGATTCACTAGCAAATTAAGCCAACCTTCTAAGTGTCCAGAATTGTACCTGTTCTCCAGGTAGAGGTTGTGATCCAAATTGAAGAAGAGAAGAGACTCTGATACAATAACTGAGAATGGCATTGTAATTTTCGCCACTAGATCTCAGACTTGACTGGGCTAAATTTGTATGCAGTAACACGTGGGCGTCAGTGATGCCAAGAGACTGGTGAGACCCAGCTGGTCTGACGTGTTGCAGGGCACCTGAGCACAGGTGTTCTGTCTCATTGGCCACACCCAGATCTCCGGAGAGTCTGCATTGGTGGCACAGATACCAGAAGCAGCTCTCTCTCGGACTCAGGCCAGTGAAGGCGTCTCCAGAATTTACACCTCCTGGGTGTCATTTTGGGGTGACAAAAATCTAACCTCTGATTCCCCATCCTTCAGATATAATCCACTCTTGTAAATCTCTTCTTTACCAGATCCAACCTCTCCTGCTCCTTCTTAAGTCTTTTCAGATCCCCTAACTCATCCCGGTTCCATGTTCTGAACCCATTTTAGCTTGTGAATAGGGTCTCAAATCGGACTCGGTACTTCACCGCCCATATGCCACCAGCTGGCATGCAATGTCATTCCCCTTAATCAGCAAGCTTCAGGGCTAATCTCAGCATTGAATTCGGGCTATTACTTACAATTTTGTGTTCTCTTCTCGCCCAGGGTATACACCAATATCTTGGGAGGTCAATATTCAGATCAAGCTGGTAACAGAGTAAGAGCTTGGAACTGGTCAAGCTTGATTACTGCCTCACACTTTGTGTCATTTAAGCCTGTCTTTCTGGCTTTGAACTGCTACATTGGGATTCGCATCTTGGAACAGGACAAGATCTCTATCAGTTTTCTAGCGATGGGCCAGCAAGCAAGAATCAATGTTGGAACCAAAGTGAAGGTAGGTACATTTTTTAAAATACCCTACGCATTTAGGATAAGAGTAAAGTAACTCCATTCAAGTTATTACTGATGGATTATACATATATTATAGACGTAGTATGTGTTTATATATATATTCCACCAGTCACTAACAACTTCAGAATTCAAGCAGAAAAAAACGCATAGTGAAAGTTTCCTGCGATACTGAGGCAACACTGTCATTTTTCCTCTTATTCTGAAATTCTTCCTACTTCAGGCTTGTATCCAGATAAACATTTGTGGAGCCTTTATTCTGTGACTGGTGGTGTTGCTATGGGGTGGGGAGTGTGCTTTAGGTTTTTCTATTGTATCCATTTTTGCCTAGGCTGTGTTATAATGTCCTGCATTATCCCAGGAGACCTGAGTTCTGATCATGTTCCAGAACACAAGGTTTATCGTGTTGGAGCCAACCCTTGATTCTCCTGGTCCTCTGCCCAGTTAGCATTAACAGTGTCCTCCTCTGGGCTGTCCAGGAGCTTGCCTTTATCCGTGTGTTATGAAACCATGCTGGGGCCCGGCGCGGTGGCGCAGTGGTTTAGGTCCTCGCCTTGCACGCCCGGGATCCCATATGGCGCCAGTTCTAATCCCGGCAGCCCCGCTTCCCATCCAGCTCCCTGCCTGTGGCCTGGGAAAGCAGTCGAGGACGGCCCAAGGCTTTGGGACCCTGCACCCGCATGGGAGACCCGGAAGAGGCTCCTGGCTTCGGATGGGCATAGCATCCGCTGTTGCGTTCACTTGGGGAGTGAATCATCAGACGGAAGATCTTCCTCTCTGTCTCTCCTCTCTGTATATCTGCCTTTCCAATAAAATTTTTTTTAAAAAATCTTAAAAAAAAAAAAAGACAAGCATGCTGCCTTACTTGGCTTTGTAGTTACCTGTCTTCATGGTGATGGGATCCTGAAGGATGATGAGTCTTGCTCAGAGCACAGCCCAGAACACACTCTCTGTGACTGGCAGTATTACACTGGAATGAACATGGACTTCAAGAGTCTCTAGTCTCAAACCTCAGCTCTGCCAGCTGGTAGAATGGATGAGTCTGAACTTCAGACCAGTACCAAACGTGGTACTTGGCACTGCAATAAGCATTTAGTAATTGGCACCTCAACACAAATATAGAGCTAGTATGAATAGAGCTGTATGTACATGCATAGACACATATAACATGTCTAGTGCGTGACTTCGGACAAGCCCCGAGACTGAAGCCTTTTGCTCAGCCAATTGTTTTTGAAGATCTATTTTACTTTTATTTCAGTTACACAGAGAGGTCTTCCACTCAATGCTTCACTTTCCAAATGGCTGAAAGGCAAAAAAGAAAAAAAAAGAGCTAAACCAAAACTGGGAGCCAGGAGCCAGGAGCTTCCCAACACAGGTGCAGGGGCCCAAATACTTGGGCCCTTTTTTTGTTGCTTTCCCAGGCCACACATATGAGCTGCATTGGAAGTGGAGCAGTCAAGCATGACATGCTGTACCCATGTGGGATGCTGGCACTGCAGGAAGAGGCTTAGCCTAGTATACCATGGCACTGGCCCCTAAGCAATGCCTAAAGGGAGGGGAAGCCCCACACTTCGGAGATATATTCAGTTGCTCAGAAGCCTGTACTTTCATGTGAGTACACTTCAATATTCAACACAGGCAGGATGACTTTGAGAGTATCAGCCAAAAGGCAACTTGAGATGCAGCTAACATCCAGCAATGGCTTACTACGTTCTAAGCACTATGGTGGCCCTGTCCAGGTGGTCTAGGACAGGCAGGTGTTTGGACTCTAGACAGGTACCACTCCTAATCAGCAATGTGCAGCATCCCCTGCTGACACCTCATGCCCAGGGTAAGCACATCTGCCTGAAAGCATCCAGGTGTCCGTCTCACAACTGCCTGCCCTTCCTCCTAGTCCCTTCCACTAGGAATGAATTTTCAATCAAAGCAACCCATTTTGGGAAATAGGGGAAAATCTGATGTTCAAATATTTTACTTGTATCACTGTTCTCATAGCTATCATTTCTTTGATTTTTTTGAAAATGAATAAAAATGATGTGTAAATACTTTCTCATATTTGAGGATTATGCAAATAATATAGAAATAGATGGCCCAAAAAGAGGAAATTCCTTTTTGATCATTTCTTCTATTTTAACCTCCTGTCCCAAAATAATCACCATCCTAAATTTGTTGGGCATTTTTCCCTCCAGGTATTTGTAAGTTATCAATATGCATTTTTAAAACAACACAGCAAAAATACATCTTATTATACCGATTGTATTATTGGGGGTAGTTTTGTTTTGTTTTGCTTTTCACTTCAATGTGGAATGTTTTCCCAGGCCTGCACTCCCAGGCATACTGCAAATCCACCTGAGGTTGTTAGGGAGAGTTCACGTGCACCTGACGTGATCTGTGCTGACCCTAACAGGTTCTCAGCACGTTGTGCTCAGCCAGCCCATCACTTCCTCCCTCGGGTGCCTTCCTCCCCTCACTTCCAGCAACCGCTCTGCCTCATTTTTCCTCCCACATCGCGGGCTGCTCTTCTCTTTCTTGGCTGAAATCCAAAGCAGAACTGGGACTTGAACCCAAGCACTTGGGAGACACAGGTGCCCAACTGGGGGTCTTAACTGCTGGGCCAAAGCCTTCCTCAGAGAGGGAGCTTTGGTCACCCCCAGTCCTACCTACTTGCCAAGCAGGGCTGTCTCCTTCCGTGCCGTGCCAGTGGGCACTCAGTCTTCCCACCCACACAAATCACACCATCCTCCCTTGGACAGTTTCCAGGAACGGGCCAGGTGAAGCATCTTGATTCTTCCCTCAATAAATGCTGGTTGTATTACTTGACTGAGTGGTAAGCTTTTGAAAGTATCCAAATTGCAACTGATGTCTCAAATCATGGTGTTTCGGCTCTTTCCACATTCAGGTTAGAATAATGCCACAGCCCCCTGCTTACACATAGCTAGACCCCCCAACCCCCAGTAGGGAACCCAAACCCAGATTCCTGCTACTATTTGGCTCCTCCCACACACACCCCGTGCCCCACATTCTCCAGTCGCACTCCTGTCTCTAAGCTGCTTTTCTGTTTCTCTTTGCTGAAAAGCTCCTGCGCCCGGAGGAGATTCCCGTCCTCTGGTACCTGGGCGAAGATGACCTCCTTCTGCTGGCCAAGTTCATAAAGATCCGACGCCTGTTTCATAAGCTGGAAGGGTGTATGAGCTTTCCCTCAAGCCAGGTTTTGGGAAAACTAAAGCAGCCCCCCTACCTGTCTTCCCTTTCTCTAAAACTAACTGCCCTCTGTCACAATGCTGGCATTAAGCGGGATATCATGGCAGCAATACAGAACATAATCAATAAAAATATTTAAGATTTGATGCTTTCATTTGCTTTGTTAAGCTCCTCTTTGGTGATGTGGGGAGGGGCCAGGAGGCTTCCCCAAGAGCAAACAGAGTGACTAGGAACCTCCCAAAAACAGGTGATGCCATCAACTGAGAACACACCTGCTAGGTTGTCACGGGCTTATATTCTTGATCTGAAAACTGCCGAACACCAGAAAATGAGCCACTCATCAAAAGTATGGGTGTCGGTAAAGAACGAGATGACAGAGTGAGCCAAGCTGCTTAATGAAGTCATCGGGAGGGCAGGGATGGGAAAACCCTGATGGCCTTCAGCAAGTGAAGGAACGCCTGAAAGCCAGCGAGTCACCCATGTGACAGGCAGGAACCGTTTTGGAAGTTGCTGCAGCATTTTTTTTTTGAAAGATGCATTTATTTTTATTACAAAGTCAGATATACAGAGAGGAGGAGCGACTCCTCCTCAAGTGATGATGATGATTGATGATTCACTCCTCAAGTGACCACCAGTGCTGCGCCGATCCTGAGCCAGGAGCCACGAACTTCCTCCAGGTCTCCCACACAGGTGCAGGGTCCCAAGGCTTTGGGCCGTCCTCAACTGCTTTCCCAGGCCACAGGCAGGGAGCTGGATGGGAACTGCAGTTCTCAGGATTAGAACCGGCACCCATATGGGATCCTGGCTTGTTCAAGGCAAGGACTTGAGCAACTAGGCCACAGCGCTGGGCACAGTTGCTGCAGCATTGCATGCAGGACACAAAAGGTGAGAAATTGCACCTGCATCACCAGCACCGCATGGGAGTGCCCGTTTGAGTCCTGCTGCTCCACTTCCAATCCAGCCCCCTGCCAATGCTCCTGGGAAAGCAGCAGAAGATGGTCTGGGTGTCTGGGCCCCCTGCTGCCCCTGTGGGAGCCCCAGATAGAGTTCCAGGCTCCTGCTCTTGCCTGGACCAACTCAGGCCATTGCAACTATTGGGGGAATAAGTCAGCTGATGGAGGAACTCTTCCTGTGTGTCGCTCTGTAACTATGCAACTCTGCCTTTTCAGTAAATGAAAATAATTCTCTAAAAGAAAGAAATGCTATCTGCCCAAACAGCCACCACCGCCACCTCCAGTGGAGGGAGGAACAGCGGAAGCAGGCAGTCTCTGGCAATCCCACTACCGGAAGAGGATCCTAGTTTGTTCTGTGGATCCATGAACTGTCATTATTTATACATTGGCTTGCAGCCTTTAGTTAGCATGCGTTCTAGGAACTCTGTTAACACAGAGGATTCCGTATCATTGTTTGTCATTTCAACTCTTGCTAACCTTCACGGAAGCTTCAGGCTCACATCCCAGGGGAAGCTAAGTGTTTCTAATTTTTGTTTTGAGTCCCTGACTTTTTATTGATGAGTGCTCTTTTCCTTTCTCTCAGGTGAGACCACAATATTGAGCTAATGCACCAGTGTGGTGCTAACAGTTCATCGCAACAGAACCCTAGCTGAAATGTGTCCATCAGGGCAAACTACTTTTGAGGGCAGGCATTGTGACACAGTGGATTACAGCACCACTTCTGATGAGGGCATTCCACATCAGAGCACTGGTTCGAGTCCTGGCTGCTCTGCTTTCAATGCAGTTTCCTGGTAATGAGCCCGGGTGGTCATCAGGGGACAGCCCACGTGTACTTACACCCCTACCATTCACATGGGAGATGCAGATGGACTTCTAGACTCCTGACTTGAGTCAGGACAGGGCCAGGCCACTGTGATCATTTGGGAGTAAACCAATGGACGGAATGGATGGAATATTCTCTCTCTCCATTATTTTCAAATAAACAAATAAATTCTTCTTAAAGAAACTCTACTTTGGGATTTCTGGGCCCATAAGAGTTACTAAACTAGGCTCCAACATAGTAGCATAGTGGCTAAAGACCTCGCCCTGCATACACTGGGTGCCAGTTCGTATCCCAGCTGCTCCATTTCCCATGCAGCTCCCTGATTCTGGCCTGGGAAAGCCATAGAAGAAGGCCCAAAGCCTTGGGACCCTGCACCCATATGGGAGACCTGGAAGAAGCTCCTGGCTCCTGGCTTTACATTGGCTCAGCTTGGGACACCGGCTGTTGCAGTCACTTGGGGAGTGACCCAGCAGACACAAGATCTTTTTCAATGTCTCTCCTCCTCTCTGCAATCTGACTTTCCAAAAAAATAATCTTTTTTAAAAAGTTACTAAATTAAGCCCTGACTGAGTTTAGCAGAATTATGGTTATAACATCTGTTACAATGTTGTTTCAGGCTGAACTTGATTTTATTTAAGTATTCATTTTTGAGAAATAATATTTATTAGTCACCTGATAGTGACTACATTATAAAATATTCATAGTATTCATTCCTTTTACATATTTAATATGCAATAATTTACCCCATGGAATAAAGAAATGTGTTGTTTCCTTAAAAATTTATTAAGATAAAAATGATTCCAAGTATGAAATATTTATACCTGTATCGACCTATCATTTATTTTGTCATATTTCACAGCAGTTTGACTGATTTAAAGAACTCTTCAAAATGACAGTAACTATAAATTTGAACAAGTCTGCCAAAAGTGGACTGAAGTGTGCCATCGGTTTTTTGCAAAAATATCTGCATTTCCATATATTTCTATTAAGTAATGCCAATTTTGTACAAAAACCTCTTCAGGAAAAAACCATAAAGCTGGCATTTGGCCTTGCACCGGATTCCTGCATCCCAGATCGGACGGATGGTTTCACAGGAGCCTGCAGCTCTACTGATTGCTTCTTAGCTAAAGAAGTCCCTAGCAGGCAGTGCTGATGGCTCACCTTAGTGGGGTCTCACAGAGTGGGAGACGGGAGACTGGGCTGAGTTCCCAGCTCCTGGGCTCAGTCTCAACAGGGAACTGTTGTGTACATTTGGGAGAAGATCAGAGGATAGGAACAGCTCTTCTTGTTTCAAATAAAAAAATAAATATTTTAAAATAAACCCATTTAGGATCTGGCACCGTGGCCTAGCAGCTGAAATCCTCAGCTCGAACGCACCAGGATCTCAAATGGGTGCCAGTTTTAATACTGGGGGCCCCACTTCCCATCCAGCTCCCTGCTTGTGGCCTGGGAAAGCAGTTGAGGATGGCCCTAAGCCTTGGGACCTTGCATCTACGTGGGAGACCCAGAAGAGGCTCCTGACTCCTGGCTTCAGATCAGCTCAGCCCCAGCCATTGTGGTCACTTGGAGAGTGAATCAGCGGACTAAAGATCTTCCTCTCTGTCTCTCCTCTCTATATATCTAACTTTCCAATAAAAACAATAAATAAATCTTTAAGAAAAAAAAAGAGTTACAAAGTAGTGGTGGGGGAATTTCCATATGCTGATTCATGCCTAGATGACCTAATGGCCAGTGCTGGCCCAGGCAGAAGGCAGGAGCAAGGAACTTCATCTCAGTCTCTCTCTTGAATAGCAGGGACCCAAACGTTTGGACTATCTCCCATTGCTTGTTACAAGCCATTAGTAGGGATCAGAAATGGAACAGGCAGGATAGGAACTGGTGTTGTATGGGATGCCAGTGTTAAAGGCGCTGGCTTAACTACACCACCACACTGGCCCCTTGGTCACATTCTTGATATGTACTGGTCTCAGCAGGCTCTTGGGATGTTCCAACATCACATCACTGCTGTCACAAGATTGTGCATCTGGACCAGCCCTGCCCTGGGGGATGCTAGTGGGTGTAGACGCCTTCCCAGTTCATTCTGACTGAACTGCCAATGATGGATTCTGGGCTAACTTGAGCCCACAGCATCACTTACGCAGTGATGAGACACTGACAATGAACTTCCAGCAAACCTCAACTTATTTGACCATGAAGTGCTAAGGCGATGGAAGAGTCTAGAGCCTCAGAGAGAATAAGTGGACTGCCCAGTGTCTCTGGAAGGAGAGCCAAAATAAAGCCAGGATACAAAGACCCAGGAAACAAGAATGGGTCCAATATGGGATACTGGAGCTGCAGTTGATAGCTTAACCTCCTGCACCCCAACAACTATCCATAATGGCTGTTTCAAGGAAATTCAGTCAACTTCAAGGCAACCCAAAGAAGCAATTAATGTCCTAGCAGAGAAATATGACAGAGAAATGGAAATTAATTTTAAGAATCAAATTCTTCAACCGGGCCCGGCACGGTGGCGCAAGTGGTTAAAGGTCCTCGCCTTGCACGCCCCGGATCCCATATGGGCGCCGGTTCTAATCCCGGCAGCCCCACTTCCCATCCAGCTCCCTGCTCGTGGCCCGGGAAGGCAGTCGAGGACGGCCCAAAGCTTTGGGAGCCTGCACCCACGTGGGAGACCCGGAAGAGGCTCCTGGCTTCGGATCGGCATAGCATGGGCCGTTGCGCTCACTTGGGGAGTGAATCATCGGACGGAAGATCTTCCTCTCTGTCTCTCCTCTCTGTATATCCGCCTTTCCAATACAAAAATAATAAAAATAAATCTTTAAAAAAAATTCTTCAACGGAAAAGTACACTAAGAAAAGTTGTGAAAGTGGCAGATTTCACCAATAACGAGGCAGATCACACAGAAGACTCCATGGGCTCAGAGACAGGCTCTGTGGAAATATACAATTGGAGCAGAAAAAGAAACACTAGGGAGAATATACAAAGCTTACAGAGCTCTGAATCGTATAAAACAAACAGTTCATTGGTTGGAGTTCAAGAGGAATTTGAGAATGTCAAAGGAATAAAAAAAAGCAAGTTCAAAGAAATAACGACAGAAAACTTCCCAAACTACCAATATAGGAAAGTCACAGGTCATCACTCAGATTTCACCCCAGCAAACCTATCCCCAAGGCATATTACCATCATGCTCTTCCCCTATACAGAGGATTCGCAAAGCTTCAAGAAAAATACCACCTTCGGCTTCCAATGTGCAAGCAGAAACCTCACAGGGGAGCAGGTGCTATGGTGTAGCATGTAACGCCACTGCCTACAGTGCTAGCATCCCATACAGGCACCACCTCAGGTCCCTAATGTGCCTGGTAAGGCAGCCGAA